GCTAATGTTTTTCTTTCTTAATTATATTTGTATTTTCCACTCTTTCTATGGAGAACATGTATTACTACTGTAAATGCAGGAGGTGATAAGGGGAAAGTTGTTTTGTTTTGATGAACACAGGAGGACAGTGAAGGAAGGCAAACAGCCTCCTTCTCTTTCTGCTGTCCAAGTGTCTAAGTGTCTATAGAGGATGAAAAAGGGCCACATTTGCATGCCCGAGAGATGAGATCAGACCTGAGAAAGAACAAGTCCTGGTCCCATAATTTCTAGCAAAAGCTATTTAACACTTCTGAATTTTGGAATGCTCATTTACAAAACAAGGCAAATAATATTTCTTTTCATAAGGTTACTGAAATAGATGATGCATATCCATTACTATGAGCCAGGTACCATGCTTCAAGGTAGAGAGATAAGATCAACACAATTCATGTCCTCCAAGATTACTACTTACATATTCTTTCCTTATGAAAAGTACAGAAATAAGTCAATAATTTTAAAAACCCTCCAACCAAGGAACACTTTTGAGTGAATCTACTTGGTAACAGGCATCTCAGTTTTCTGCCCCTGTTGTTAAATAAACACTGGCCCAGTTGATGCTTCTGTCTTGGTACAGGGCAAGGACCAGCCCACATCCTGGCTTGCCCCAGTGAATAACAGCATGCTGACAACAAGAATTCAAGTTAGGTTTGCCTATATCCAGTACAGAACCTATCATTTTAACAAAAGCCTGAATAGCACAGGAGAGAAAAAGACTTGGCTGTGCTCCATGTCAATGATATCAGCTACTAAAAAGGACTGTAAAGTTTCTTTTTAAAAGATTATAATTATAAAATGCTATGTAAATGCTAAATAAAACTAAGAAAACAATTTTCAGATCTATTTAACTAATATTATGTTGTTGGACAATTCTTTAGTTTCACACTTGAGTAAGAACACCTTTAGAGATTAGAGAAGATAAGGAAGAAAAACCTGATATATTTTAGGTAGTCTTAATATGACTAGATCCCATGTTTAATTCAACTCCAGTCAGACAGAATAATGTGAGCCACTTGGCTCAAGTTTAAGATGCCTTTTCTTTTTTGAGAATAATTTCTTATAAGATAAGCATCAGTTTGACATACATAACTGTGTTTCCAACTGTCTCAAGCACACCACTATAGGAAACAACGAACAGTGCATCTTAGACAGAAAGAAAAGCAATTAATACATAATAAAGAGGCTGTTATTAACTGCATAAGGTTTGTCTGATTGGGCTTGGCATGATTTGCTTTCAGTTGAATGCTTTTGAGAGACAGGCAGGGGTTAGGAAGAGAAGAGAATCAATGTTTTTCTAAGACTCAGTTTTCTCTGGGTAAACTATACAACTAACCGCATACTCATTACAAAGGAAAGCTGTAAAGAACTCAGAATGCTTCAAATTTCCTAATTTGAAGGTAGAGATATATACACACCACTGATTAATTGCATCTTCTAATTTCCCTAAAGCCTAGCCTAGCATAAATACAAGAAAAAAATCCATAAACAAAAATTCTGCTTGTGTAATAGATGCTTCTGAAAAATTTGGCTGAAAAAAATGTTTGCAAACTGAATCATGTCAAACACATTAGGATGTCTTATTTAAAAACTACTTCCAATTAAAAAAACTAAAGATTGTTATTAAAAATAATCTCTTTCCATTATATACAAAGTTCTAGATCCCTGGAGGTATACAGCCTTTTAAAACAGGGCTCACCATAGCAATATTCCTGCACACAACTTTTGGTCCTGTGCCTTATTTACTAACCATCACTAGCTCTTACTTCCTGTCCTCAGGCTCACCTCTAGTGGCTGGGATTTGATGTCTCCTGCTGTTCCTCTGGTTTAGAATTCAGTGCATCCCTGGACCATGGTATAGGCTTTGCTCATCTTGCTGAATCCTGACCAGGACTACTTTCCGTCTTTTTGGCTTTGCCATTTCTCTGTTGGACATGATGGTTTCAAGGAATCCTGTCCTCTCAGGCATGCTGAACTGACTCCTCAATCCACCTCCCTTTCCTCTCCCTTACATCCTTTGCTACTTGGCTCAATTTGTTTTAGTTCTAAGCCTGGATTTTTATGTTTTTTTTTTTCAAAGTTGAAATCACTTGGATTTGTTTACAATGGCTTTTCTGGCTTTTTAATGAAAGGAATGAAATATCAAAATAAAAGGGAAAAAATAGCCAAGGTCCAACCAACACAGTCTATAGTCACCCCAGATACACAAAATCTGAAACTCTAGGGGTAGGCCCAGCATCTGTATTTTAATAAGTCCTCCAGGTGATTTTAATGCATACCAAAGTTGAAAAACCACTGGTCTAGAAGAAAAGAAGATGTTGGATAAAATGAGGCATCTCATTAAGAAGTAGTAAGTCTAGATTATTGACACACAAGATGTCTAATATATTCTGTGTTAATGAAACCATAGGTATAGTATAATTTTTATAAAAAATCTTAGAAGCACATTTCCACATAGAAAAATGTCTAGAAGATTATACACCAAACTGTTAATGGTGGTTAACTTGGGGAAAATTCATTTTACTAATCTTTTATGAATATTTTTATTTTTAAATCTATAAGCATATATTATTTTATAATTTTAAAAAATGGTTAATCTAAGCATCTTCCACTCCTCTCTGGCAAAACTCAGAGGTAAAAATTAACTCATTTCCCAAAAGACTTCAGTGTCTGGACTAATCAAGCTTTGTGATGTTTTAGAGAATTCTAGAGGAAGTGAGGCAGAGATAGTGCTCAGTGCTCCATGACTCAAATCATTGCTTCTATGTAAAGCTGCTGTGCCAGAAAATGACAGGTCAAAAAGCGTGAGAGATTCTGCTCTCCTTATATAGGCCAACTTAGAAAAGGGATGATGGGGTTCTGAAGGTAAACAACAGACTAAAAACCTAGGGGTTTCTTGGAAGACACCACTTTATTTCTGGAAAATTTTCTTTATTGCAGAAATTGTGCATTTAAGTGTCCCGTTTTTCATCCCCACTTTGTGATCTGGCAGTCATTCTGTAATTATGTTGGTCCTCCTTCAAGCTGGCTTCAGGTATATATAGCATATGCATATGACAGACTAGAAAGGAGCTTGAAAATAAAATAGATTGGTTGGAAATAATCCAGGGCAAGATAAAGAGAAGATAAAAGAGAGGTGAGTATCTATGTACACATATCCAAGATCAGGTCAGGTCCTAATGAATATCCCTTAGATTATGATGCATCATGGGAAAATGGCAAGTTTTTCATCAGAAGCACTATATGCATAAAGGATCCCAAGGCACTTTACTTGTATTATCATCATGCACAAAAGCCACTCAATGTAATCTGTATACATCCTCTTGTCCTACCCTGCCTACAAGTATGTGTGTGTGACAGAAAGAGAAAATATAATTGTCTCTTTCAGGAGAGCTGTTGCCCCAGAAACCAGAGAAATTCAGTTAAAAAAAATTTTCAGTAAGTTTAATAATTAATTATTAATTCATTAAAAGGAAAGCTACTTATAGCAGGGGTATTTTTACTTTTGCTAAGCAAATTGATAAGGATTGCTCCAATTTTTTCTATCCAGATACTCTCTACCTCTGAAACCCTAACTGTACCAGAAGACAAAAGTCTTTACCAATGTCCCAGTACTTTCATTGCTGTATGAGGAGAAAATAATTTTGTAAACTGGTGTCTGCAGCCGCCTTTTGAAGAGCCTATCATTGTGGCTCTGCCTCATATACTGTCCCAGATTAGAAAACAGAGGCACAATGTGATTATATGGTAGAAAGGAGATGAAATCCAGTTGGTCTGCAGCGTGATATAAAAGAGTACAGATACTGAAGTCCGAGTTTGAATCCTAGCTCTAAATTACATTAGACTTGGGGCAAATGGCCCTACTTACTAAACTTCAGTGTCCTTATCAATAAAAAGGGAACAGTAAGCTAATTTACAAGGTTGTTGCAATAATCACAAGTATGTAAAGAGAAGAGAGGGAATATAGAGTGAGTGTTTAATAGATACAGAATTTCAATTTGGGATGATGAAAAAGTTCTGGAGATGGATGGGGGTGATGGTTGCACAACAGTGTAAATGTACTTAATGGCACTGACCTGAACTATCACAAATGGTTAAAATGGTAAATTTCATTATATATATATTTCACCACAATTTTTTAAAAGGTGTGTAAGGCTCCTAGCATAGTACCTGGCTCTCAGTAGGTGCTCAAGAAATGCTAGTCTTATTTCCCTTACGAAGAACTTCAAATTAAAAAAAAAAAAAGAAGATACAAAAAGTCAAACAAAATCATGCTCCTTTTCCTATTTGTGAAAGGCTTGGCTCTTAGGCAGAGCCAGCAGGCACCAATATCAGGTGGTGCCACAGTAAGTATCAGGATAGAAGGGAGGCTGTATGTGTAGTCCATATCCCTCCAGCATTTTCAGTTCCCAGTCCACCTCCAACACGGTATGGCATCTCCAAGAATACCAATCCTGCAGCCCCCATGATCTTACAAAGAAAGCTGGGAAGCTTAAATCATTTCCCAAACTACACCCCAGCTCATAAGGACAAGAGCATTTGCCATGGCAGCTGGCTCCTATAAGTGGGGGAGAGACAAGACATCAGTACTGAGCACCAACTGGATGGGTCTGGAGCGTACTCCAGCTGCCAGCATTAGGCTGATCAGCACTGCAGATACCTTTAGTGAGATTTAATGGACACTGAGGAGAGTAGTCTCAAAAGCCTGTTAAAGGAAGATTAAAAATGCACTTGTCTGCAGTTCAGGGAAAACAATTAACAAGTACGTGTTGTAAGTCATAAAATAGAAAAGGAGAAAAATAGACGACTTTTCTCTAGGCATATCAGAACACTGCTTCTGATGGGCAGGCTTAATTAGACCTTGATACAATGTTCAGAAAGACGATCATTAATATCCCTTGAACTTAGCTCAAGGAAAAAGGAATACTTGGGGTACCAATGCCCAATTATTCCCAAACAATACTTACTTTAGGGTCTGAGCTCTTGAACTTTAACCTTTCCACCAACTCTATCATAGCTGCCTTCAGTCCACCTGAGTCTTTGCTCTAGAAGAAAGAAAAATCAGGGGTCATTAGCATTTTGTTGATCTCTTGAACACAAACAGCATTTCCTAGGACAATGAAATGGAGAACAAATTTTCTTCTTTCCAGTCAAGAGAACTAAATAACTAAGGAAAGCTGGATTACCCCTCTTCTTCTTCTCTGTGAACAAAGAGGGTAGGGCCATAAATTGCCCAGTGATCTGACAGAACTATTGGAATGAAAATTAAATGAATTTTATACAGTCTGACTCACTACTTCATCACAGGGCTCAAGTGTGCTGGTGTTCACTGAGGGCTAAGACTCTGCAACAGGGATTTCCATTTGGGATGTCTATTTTATGACCTACTAATTTTTATTTTGAACTTCTACATACTAAATACATAAGTATGCAGTATTAAATATTCTTATAAAAGTAAAAACAAAGAAAAAGCCCCAAGACTAAACTGGAAATAGTACTACAATGTGTTGGTTGAGTATAGGTTTTTGAATTAGATGTAAGATTTCAGATTTGGGTTCTGTCATTGATTAGCTTACTAACCTCAGGCAAATTACTGACTTTCTTAAAACCTTCCATTTCTATAAAATGGGGATAATAAAAAAGGTTATTCTGAGGCTTAACTGAAGTAGTGTTTGTAAAGGTATGTGTTTGCACAGTATGTGGCACATAGTAAGTACTCAGTAAATGTCACCTATTATTATTATTATTGTATTGTAATAATTTAAAGTAGTACAGTCTAATAGAAATATAACATAAGCCACAAATACCAGCCACACATGTAATTTTAAGTTTTCTGGTAGTCACAAAAATAAAGTGAAATTAATTTTAATATTTTACTTAATTCAGCATATCCAAAATATCACTATTGCTACATGTAATTTCAACACCAGATAATTTATATATATTTTTTCACACTAGGTCTTTGAAATCTAGTATTTCACACTTACATACCAACACATTTCAAGTGTCAAAAGCCACATAAGGAGTTAGTGACTACTGTATTTGTCAGCACTGTTTTAGAAAATAGACACTAGAGCCACACTGCCTGAATTCTAGCCCCAATTCAACCACTAGCTGTGTGACCTTAGGCAAGTCACTTGGCTTTTCTGCACCTGGATTTCTTTATCTGTAATATAAAGCTAATAACAGTACCTATTTCACAGGTAGTAAGATTAAATATGTCAAGGTGCTTAGAACAAGGCCTGGCACATGGTGAACATAACAGATGAAACATTTTTATTATCATTGTCTGTCTTCCTTGAAATGTTTTAAATATTTAAGGGTAAGAACTACACCTTTTACTATATCTTTTATCTTTTTACCTGTGCCCATGCTCAGCAGCAAGGGTTTCAGAAAGTTTACTGAGCAAATGAATGAACACACACACAATCTTTAGACATGAATACCCTAATAATAATAATAACAGTCCAATCTAAAAATCACATGAATAAGTTTATTTTCTTATTTCAACTCTTCTATGGACTACGGTAGGATACCCCTAATTTTACAAGTGATGAAAAGGAAGCAGGAAGAAGTAAAATGACTATTATTTTTTATAGGGGAAAAGACAATAAGGAAGTACAATATAAATGAACAGTATAAATATCTATTACTCAAAATTGGCCTCAGTATCAGTGATATTTCCCAAATTTGAAGAACCAATTCTAATTCTTCAAAACAGGAATAATTGAGTAAGACTCCATCATACAGTTTAAAATAGACTAAAGGCTAAATCTTTTTTTCCCTCTAACTTTCTTTTCCTCCCAAGCCTATACAATAAAAGTCTGATGCAACATGACTAAGACTGATACCATTCTAAATGAGCTCTCCACACAGCTTAGTTTCCATTTTAGCTGTTGTTCTAAGTTTTTAAAATTTATATTTTTAAAATTATGATTTACAACTCTCCAAATTTCTTTACCAGTTTAAATCTTTACTCTCTGTAGTCTTACAGCAGTTAGGAAAAGGAATCTGGAGGTCACATACCAGGGAATGGATGAGACATGAAGTACCTAAAAAAGGGTTAAGTTGTCAGACACAATCCTGCTTTTATGAGATGATCAGACAATAAAGCCTGTCTGGTGCTCTCATTCCTCTAACTTGCTTCTCATTGGCTGAACAAGCAGGTCATTTGTCCCTGGAAAGCTCGCTTCCCCCATATTCCAGCTGCCAGCACCCATTTTAAGCTCCTTAGCAAGAGCTCTGATATATCATGACTTTCCCCCTGGCTCTAGAGAAAAGAAAGGAATGCACAAAACTGTGCCTTAAAACATTCAGAAAAGAAACAAGACAATGAAGGAATCCCTAAGAAGCACACAGCCTGTTTGGAGGCAGATGTGCCTTGTGTGGACAGATAAGGGGAACCCTTAGCCTTCTTTCATAAAAATACAGTGTGTCAGCAGAATCCTTCTTCCTTTTCACAAAATATCAGCAGCCTTGCATACTCAAGGGACAGACAGGGAAGAGGCACAGAGACAGCAAATGTCCCTTCAGAAATTCATCCATTTCACCTCCCCACCCTAGCTATACAGAGACTCTAAATGGGTGGTGAAGAAAACCTTCTTCAATGCCTTTTTTAACCTGTAAAATAAGCAGTTGGTCAGAAGGAAGAGGCTTTTCTGGGCAGACCTGCTGCTAAGAGCTGCAGGGCTGAGGCAAGAGTACAAATGGAGGACCCTGGCTTCAAATCCCCCTCCTTTCTCTTTCCCTCCCATTTGTACCTCAAGGGTCTTGTATGCAGGTGTTCAAGGTAGTACACTCAGACTCGGGGAACATCCCTCTTAAGCAGTTGCCCTTGGTCATGCCTGGGACCTAAGAATAAGAATGCACATGTCAGGGGTAGAGTCTAATGGCTTGATCTATCTTCGGGAGGATGGAGTCAGAGGTTTTGCAGGCTGTTGAAGCAGGTTCAGGACATTCTGTCAGGTAATTCTTGGGTCCGGGCACTTTAAGAATGGTCTAGAAGGGGATGGGCATGGCTAAAGAAACAGCTCTCTAAAGCATGGAGCATAGGGCAGAGAGACAGAGTTATCTAGATCTAAGGTGGTTTTTGAGTATGAGTGTCCCCAAACCATAGGTGTTATCATCTTTTAGTTAATTGTTTGCCAAGGCCAGTCATCAAACAAAAAGTAATCAGAGCAGGAGACTATACTCCAATATTCCCCCACTATGGTGGAATAGAATAGCTGCCTCTGTACACTGGATTCTAATTGAAAAGTGGACCAGGCTAGTAAAAAAAGGCAGGATAATTCTAACCTTGTAGATACATGGTTCTATAAATGGCCAAATTCTACTGTCAGTTCTTGGAGCAAGCACTGTAAGTGGTAAAGAAGTGAGATTCTTCTGCTATTGCTCTTCACCTCCATCTCACCTAATGCATTCCAAGAATTCAGGAGTTCAATGTGAATCTATCTTGTTTATGCATCTCTTTCATTTCTCAAGAGAGTGTAGAATAGAAAGTGCCAAGCGCTGCTATGTTGTGATATCCACTCCCAAGAGTTCGATCAATCTGTGGAGAATGTGGGATGCTTCACAAAAGCCAGCTCCTAGGGATAAGTCATAATAAAGCCAAAGAAGGGACAAAATGCCTTACATTCAAAGGTATTCTTTACTTTCCAAAGCACTTTCATGTGCTCTTTCATTGATATCTCACAAAAAACTTAAATGGTAGCACTTTACAGCTATAAAATGGCTGGCAGAAACCAGATGAGAACCCCCAAACCCCACCAAATCACAGAGCTCATACACTATTTAATTGGCATTTCATAGTAACACAGTAACTAAGAGGTAGTGTATTCTCACGTTACAAGGGAGAAAAATGTTTCTGTGAAAGTCAACATCCCCCAAATCACAGAGCTAGTCAGTAGCAAAACCAGGATGAGAAAGACACAAATGAAAAAGACTTATAACATAGACAACAGAAAAGGTTAGTATCAAGAATACAAGAGAAAACAAGTAAGGGATCCCTATAAATAAGAAAAGCCAAATAAGCCCAAAAGAAATCCAAAAAAAGGATTTGAACACAACAGAAATGTGAAATGGCTGGTAAACAGATGAAAAGATGTAAAAGATGCTCAAACTTACTTGCATTAAGGTATCATTTCTTACCTATCACTTTGAAAAAGAAAGTTTTAATCTGATAATATCAAGTGATGAGGGACTTTGGGGAAATTGGGGACTTTCAGTTATTGCTGATATAAAATGATTAAGCACTTTGAAATCACATGCTTGGCCAGTTCATTGCTCTCTTTCTCCCCTTGAGAAACACTAGCACATGTGTCAAGGAGGCATGCACAAAAATATTTATTGCAACACTGTTTGTAGTACTGAAAAACTGGAAACATCCTAAGTATCCATCAACAGTGGGTGGCTAAATAGGCTACAGAATTAACAAGCTATGGATTATGATATAGCAAATAAGAAGAATGAAGTAGATCTGTATGTACCTGAATACAAGGCAAAACATGGTGATTAAAAAAAATACTTGCAAAATGATACACATGATAAATACCATGTACTTTAAAAAAACACACAAATGTCCCTATCGGTGATATATATGTGTAAATGACTAGAAAAGCAATGATTAGATGGACTTACATGACGAACAGAAGTACAGAGAGTCATAGACTTAAATGTATCATTATGGTCTAATTAAGATTTAGTATACAAAAAGAAAGGGAGGGAAAAAAGGAGATGAGGCCTACAGCTTTTGCTTCCAATAACTCTCTCCCTGAGTTTGCCTAAGCATGAATAATGGGGCATAGTATGCCCTTTGTAGTGCAAACACAAGAACCAGCAGGGACAAAAGAAGGTTCTTTATCTGGTGCACATGATGAATTTCACAGAGTCTGAAATCCCCAAAACTGTATGCAAAATTTGGAATGTATATTCACTTTTCTAGGGAAAGGAACATTAGCCTTCCTCAGAGTACTAAAAAAGTTTAACTTATTAGTATTGTACAAAGAGAAAGAACACCTAGGTTTTATTCTTAGTTCTGCCACTAACT